GCCTGCTTCCCAAGTACTGGGAACAGCCTTTGATAAGCTTGGCCTTCAGTAGAACACTAGTGACATAAAGATGGTGTGCTCTCTGCTCTCCAGAGGATCACTGTCTAGCAAAAGCAGGTAGGCAGATGGGCAAATAGCTAGCTACACTCATTGATAAGCCAATGCTACAACAAAGACTTCATAAAGCAGCTGAGAGTACAGATGCTCTTACAGCTGTCATGGCAGACTTACCTTGTGACTGGATTTGTTGAGCCTAGGATTTTTCTACTTAAAACAAATTGATCCACTGAAATTACAAAACTTAATAATAGAGGATATAATCACCATTTTTAAATTTTGAAAGGTTTATTAATTTATCTAATTTATCTTCCAATGCTCAGAAATTCAGGCATAGCACACTGAGGTGTTTAGCTCAGGGTTCAGGCAGTTCATGGAGCCTGTTAGTCATGGTTGTAGTCCGTGGACCATGGTTAAGTTTCAACGTGGCTCCTTTGGGTACGAGGTCCCCATTTCTGCCCAGATGTAGCAGAGACCTTATTTTCTAGCCAGTCATTTCCTTCTGGGCTGCTTGAGTATCCCCAGGACATGGCAGCATGCTTGGATCCCAGTAAAACCAAGAATGAGGGTGAAAATGGAGTTGCAGTATTTCTTGACTCCAGCTCTGCAGTTACACTCCCAATCCAGCTCAGAGTTCACTGGTGCAACGACCCAGACTCTTTTGGGAAGTGTCAAGTATAGAATTTAATGTATGCATTAATTGCCACCATGCAACTTACACAAAACAAATCTTTTTAAACTATGCCTTTTCAGGCAGTTCTTCCAAACACTTATTTTTCTCTACATTATTCTCTTGCTTAGAGCTAGAAACATCAACTTCCTACTTTAAAATTGCTTTTGCCCTCAATCAGTTTGCCAATAAATCATTTTGCAACTTCATTTGTGTAGACACCAAATGCCGTTACCTGGCCTTGAGGACTGGTTGTATGTGTGTGGTTTGTTATTTTACTTTTTGGCAGCTATGATTGTTTTACTGTTCCCCAGATGGGGAGCTTCTAGACAGATGAAGGCATGATTCAGTGTGCACAGGGCCTATTGATGCTTTCTCTAGACTTCCTCTTTTAAGATGTGACTGGGCCTTGTGCCCCATGCCTGTAATCCCAACTATTTGGGAATCTGAGACAAGAGGATCAGAAGTTAGTGAACAGCTTGGACAGCTTACCAGGTCCCTCCCTGCCTTAGAGATACAGCTCCTTGCAGAGCCCTTATCTATTATGTGTGAGGTCTGTGGTTCAGTCTCTTGTTCCACAATCAATCAATAATTGTCACAATGAGATAAATAATCCAGGTACCTAGGAGGGAAGACTGTTATCCCAGAATATCTTCATCCTTTTGATTTAGTGAGGCTTTATTGATAATAAAAATAACTAATAACTAGGCATCTTGTCTTTTATGCCCCCAAACCATAAATAAAATCAGTTAGTTGGTTCAACATGTCTTAGGAGAAGGGAATTTGTTGGTGCCTTAAAGGTTTTATTTCTGAAATTACTGCTAGACTCTTGAGAGCAGAAACAGCTTCACTATTGAATCAATTTGGGGGTAAGTTTGGGGTCATGTACCCGTTGATCAACCAACTGGCAGTTAGTTAGTCATTTCCTGTGCTGTAGTAATATTCCATTTAACTTCTCTCAGGGCCCAAAAGGCACTCTGCAAACTTGGAATATGTAGAAGGAGCGGTGGTCTGCGTCCCGCCTGGTTTCCGCATGGCTAGCTTTACACCCAGAAATAACAACACACAAACTGTATTCATTTAAACACTGCCTGGCCCATTAGTTTCAGCCTCTTATTGGCTAATTCTAACATCTTGCTTTAATCCATATTTAGTAATATGTGTAGCATCACGAGGTAGTGGCTTACTGGGAAAGATCCTAACCTGCATCTGTCTCAGAAGGGAGAGTCATGGCGACTGCCTCACTGCCTTCTTCCTCCCAGCGTCCTGTTCTGTCTACTCCGCCTACCTAATTTTCTGTCCTATCAAAGGACCAAGGCAGTTTCTTTATTAACCAATGAAAGTAACACATAGACAGATGACCCTACTCCATCAGGAATACATGTTAATAAGAATTCTTAGGACTCTAAACTTACCATTGGACTCACATCCTTGTTATATGTTATCCATAGCAGACATCCAGCAGGTTTAAACTGCCCAGTAAGAGCCAAGGAAGTTCTGCCAGGGAACTTCCTTGCAGACTGATAAAGTCACAGAGCTCCAATCATTCTTTGCATAAGTGGTATAGTTTATTAACATCCTATGTCCCTCAAATCCATGACTCCTGACACATGTAGAGATGTGAACCACTTTCATTTTGACTTTGGCCTGGCATCACGATCACTGGTCAGGTTGTATATATCAGCTTTGCAACAGCCTCAAATCCTAACTTCTTCCCACCACCATAGTCATGACCCTGGTGCCTATCCTCTAGAAGTAAATTTGTGGTGTAGCGGTATTTTCTGGGCACTTTACTGTGCCTGCATGCACATTCTATAGACCACACACAGTCAGCATCATCTTGTATTTCCAGGTTTAAATGCTTAATGGCATCGTGTCGCAATCGGCCGAGGACATGCATTCATTATATCACGCTGGGTGCTGAGTGTTCTCAGCTCAGCTTAACTGCAGCATTTTGGTTTGGTTATTGTACAAAAAAAGAAAAGTAGTCTGAACACGCATTTCTCCTTTGTGTCAAAGGACAACCTTCAAGACAATGTGTTGTCAAGCTTGAATGCTTAGATATTAAAAAGTCAAGTTTTGCCCTGTCATGCATGCACGGTTAGAATTCACCAGCTTCCCCTTGCTGCTCTCAAGTGCTTACAGCCGAGGGCAGCAGAGCTTTGTCCTGTCCGCCTCTCTGATGAGCGCTGCTGGAGGAGAGTCCAAGGCCCCCGCGTTTGCCCCTTATGCGGTTCATTAGACCTTGAGCAGCTGCTTGTGTCCATTAACAGTCACTTAAGCAGCAGGTTGGGGAAGCTGTGTTGCTATGAGCTAGCGGTGAGGCTGAGAGCTAAGAAGAGAGAGGGCCACCTGCCAAGACCTGGCATAGTACTATGTCAAACTGGGGAACATTTGTTTTCAAATCCCACAGTGTTATTTACTGGCTGATATATACGGTAGGGGCAATATGCATGTGTGTCTGTGTGTATGTTTATGTGTGCTGGTGTATGTGTGGCTGCGGGTGGGTGCATTGCATGTTTGCGTGTGCATGAGGAAATCAGAGGACAACCTGGGATGCTGTTCTTCAAATGCTTTCCAAATTTTGTTTGAGGTAGGGTCTCTCAGTGGCTTGGAACTTCACCAAACAGACTAGGCCTATTGGTCAGTGAGCTCCAGGGATTCTCCTGTATCCACTTTGTATCTTGCCTTTCCTGGGATCACAAGATCACATCACCAGTCCTGGCCTTCTGTGTGGATTTGGAGGATCTGAGCTCAGATCCTACGGCTTGCAAGGCCTTTTTCTGCGCTGTGCCATTTTCTCAGCCCAAGAATGTGCCTATATATATATATATATATATATATATATATATATATATATACACATATATATACATATATATATACACATATGTCCAAAATTGTTTAAATGGCCTTAATGGATCCCTTTGCTGATGCTATTGCATGCCAAAAGTTGCTGGGAGAGTCTCTTCTAGGGTTTGACACCTTCCCTTACATGGACTGAAATAATGGCCTGTAATCAAATAGGCACTTCCTACACTACATCTCAGCCACTGGTGAATAGGTTCATCGGTTGAGAAAACATCATCCTATTCTCTTTTGTGTGCGTGGCTGTTCACATCTGTGCACCGACCCCTGAAAATGTGTGCCCTTATGTGTGTGCATGTGCGGACCAGAGAGTGATGACAGGTGTGTCTACCTTACTCTTGAGGCAGGATCTTCACTCAGCATGGAACTAGAAGATTCAGCTAGGCTGGCTGGCCCGTGAGCTTCAGATACTCTCCTGCCTCCGAGTCCCCTGCACTGAGGTCGCAGATGCATGCATTTTTTGTGTGAATGTGCCAGGGATCTGACCTTAGCTCCCAGGGCATGTGTGGCCAATACTTTAGGGATTTAGCCGTCCCCCAGCCCCCACCCTCCCATTTTCTACAAAGCAAAGAAAATAAAATAAGTAAGCCAGAACACCAGATGCAGCTTAAAGTCTACAAATTATTCCCAGACTTGAGCTTCTTTCAGGCTCTATTTTAAGACGCAGCACTTTTTTATGTTTGTTTCAACAGGAGGGTTAGAGGATTAAAAAATGCTTAATTGATGGAAAGTAGGAGTGGTTACTCCCCCCACCTCCTCTACTCAGCTAAGCTAAAAAGGAAAGCAAGCCCATTCAATTCTCAGTCAGATCTGGAAGACATTATTGCCTGGGAAAGAAAATCCTTGGAGCCATCGTGTTCCTCCCTTGCCTACTTTGATGTGTGTATCTAATTCTAATTATTGAGGAATCAGCCTTCAAATCTACAGCACCACTAAAGAAAATAAAAACAAAACAAAACAGAACAAACAAACAAACAAACAAAAAACCCTGGGACGAGGCCAGCATATTGCCTCTCTCTAAACAAGGGTCCTATTAAGGGGCTCTTGTTGCCAGCTAGGATAAGGGACTTTGTATGATCCCAAGCACAGCCAACAGCATCTGAAATAATAATAATTAAATAGAATGATTAGTGCAATAATTGTCTGTTTTACTACGGCAAGCAGCAACTTGACCCTAAGATGGTCACCAGTGTTGCCCCCCGGGATGCAGGGAACACGGGGTGTGTGGGGTGGCATCCAGAACCATGCATTTCTTCGGCAGGAAGCTGTGACCCTGCTAGTGAGGTGTGGGTGAGGTGGTGATGACCACACCTGGCAGCAGAACATCTCTAGGGGACCGGGGCTGAGGCGCCTTCTCACAGAGCGGCTCTGTGCAGCTGGCGCAGCAGAGGAGCCTGGACTCCAATGGAGGAGGCTGGGAGCTCAGGTCTCTGCTGCATTCAGAGAAGCCCGGGCTGCAGCCGCTATGTGAAGTTCCCAGCACACACTCAGCCGCCACTCTGCACCGCCAATTGTGGGTGAGCCAGGACAACAAGGAGAGAGATCCCATTTTGCTTTCTTAGAGAAAGGGCTGAGAAATGAGCCGCCCAAGGAATCTGGCAAGAAGAGTGAGAGGCAGATTCCTGCCAGCAGCTAAGTTGTAAAATTGCTTTGGAGGCTGCCCAGGGAGCCAGATAGAATTGATAAGAGCAGCGCAAGCCGGGTTTCTGAGCAAAGGCATGCCCGGCTGCACTTGAGTCGCGGCGCAGGAACGCTGCCTGTGCCTTCTGCAACTATCTGTAGCTGAATGAAGGAATAAAGCCTAGAAACACAATTGCAAGGGGGATTCCTGAAAGGAAAACACATCCACCCCCCAAAGAAGGGGAGCAACAACCCAGCTGACCTGTGCATCTTAAAAAGGAGACTCCCTCAGGTATGTTTTGTCTACCTCCCGCTGAGCTGCCTCATCTGCATGAGATTTAGCCTCTGCCTTTATTTCCGGGGTTCTTCCTCTCTGCACTTTGAATCACGATCGTGCGGTTCTCTCAGCTGGAAGATGCCCCTGTAAAGGCTGGCTCTTCTAGGTTCATAATCGATATGATTATTGGGGGATCATGGTCTTCTGGAGTCTTACTTTATTTTGATGCGGCATGATAACTGTTTGCTTACTTCGCGGTCAACTTTCAGAGGAATTACTGCATAGGAAGAAGCAAGGTTGGGATAAAGTCGGGGTTCCCTTTAGTACCTTGAGGTTTGGGGATGGGTGAAAATGAAATGCAAATAGAGGTGAAAAGTTGAAAGCTGCTAGGAAAGGGTTAAAAGCTAAGCCTGGTGTCACTTAAGTGGTCAGGTCGGGGCCAATCGAGCTTTGGGATGGTTCTGCCTTCTCAAGGCTGTACCCAGTCCCTTGGGTGATGATCCCAAGGATTTACTATCAAGAGATGAGACTGCTTGGTTCTGTTTTACAACTGTTCTATGGCACTGAATGAGGCAGTCTTTAAAAAAAAAAAAAAAATCCTGAGATCCAGCTGCATGAGTAGAACCAACTTCTGCAATTACGTCATCACAGACTTGTATAATAAGGAGAAAGACCCAGCACCAATCACACCTAGGCGAAGCTGAAATTCTTCTTTCCCCGGGAGGGTTTTAGAGAACAACACGAAAGAGGTGGGTGGAAAATGTGCAGAAAGATGAGTTTTAAAAAACCTTCTGTGTTTTGGAGTTCATAAATGAAATGTTCCTAAGGAAAGAATTTTGCCGTCTTTGACTCTTTAATACTTTCAAAAAAGTGGCTGAAACTGACAGCAAATTGTATATGTGCATGCGCCTTTACATGAGCTTTTCCAGAGAGAAGGGGGGGGAAAAGAAGGAAAAGTTTTATCTTGCGTATATAAAATGTTTTCTAGACTTTCTGCATCCTTTTGTTAATGTGACTATTGTCTTCTGAAGCTTGAGGGTGTTGACTCTGAATTGTTGTTCCTACTTTTTTATGATATGTCAGCTGCTGTAGATTAGAGTCCAGTGGGACTCAAATGGTCAGTTATGTACCTTTTGCCATTAAGGAAACCATCGCTTGACTTTTCTGAAACTCAAAGTTCTTCTTGCTAGGTGGCAGTGGTCTGGGGTACTGAGCTGGGCTCTACACCCAGGTCATGAGTTGGTGTGAGGTGCTCGTGGCTTTACTAGAATATACAAGAATAGGGTGGATATCTCCAGGCAGTCGTTGAGATAATACAGACAGAAAATGGACAAAGTGTTCTTCTGTGGGGGTGAAAAGCACAGTGTATTTCTTCTATGCGGACATGCGTGTGGCACAGGTTATCCATCTGTAGATGAGCTGTCCCAGAAGAAATGTAATACTATGCAGAGCATCCTATAAAGAACTATTTTTGAAACTAATAAACTGATGTCAAAATGGCTAAAGATTGTTTGAGCCTCATAGGTACGTGAGAACTACCTTTCCAAACTGAAAAAGTTAATTTGCTTCCAAACTACATGGAATTTGGTGGGGAGGCCTGTGCTACGGAATAATCCTATTTATTGTTTCTGAAGTATTTTTCTTTGCCGGATTCTTCTGAGCCTTTTACCACTCAAGCCTAGTTCCAACACATGACTTAGGAGGCTGCTGACCACCAACAGGAATTACACCTGTTTGTAGGAGTTAATATAACATTTTTCCCACAACACTTCCTTGGTCTCATTTCAGCAGAATTATGGGCTTAGACCTGATGGTGGCTAAGAAGATGAAACTTTGTCTTCTCGGTAGTTCTTTGTGGTTGGGTTTTCATTAAAGAAATTTGGAAACATTGCTCACAAGTGTTTACCCCTGTACACCTGGACAAGTTGATGAGCAGGCAGATGAAGAAGAGATGTATGTGTTAAGTAAGCCTGGGGAAGTCACTTTTCATTGCTTCTTATTAACCACATCAAACAGTTTCTTCCTACACCCTATGATACCCTCTAGGGTTGCTATTCTTCCAGTATCTAACAATGAAGCATACAGCAAACAGAATGAGTTGCTTAAAAACACATGGATCATTGCAGACAGGTGCAAGTGTGGAGGTTCATCTTGCAAAGACAAATTGCTCTAAGCATGTTTGTGTGAGGTGAAGAGTGATGGATGGTGGGGTCAGTGGAAGAGAGAACACTTGGATGTTTCTGCTCATTTAGAGTCAGCCAGTGTCTTTGAACACCAGAACACGATGTTCCAGCACCTTCATCTCCTTCCTCCTCTTCAGCCACTGTAGTACACACAAGCTCCCTGAGATCTCAGAGGCATGGTGCTCCCTGTATTTTGTGTTCTAGTTTTAATGCCCTCTGCTTTCTGGTGTGTATTTAACGTTTGCTACACAAGGACTTTCTCAAAATTATTAAAATTATCTTGCCACGTGATAATATGTGTGGGGGATCCTTGAACATGGAAATTTGGGGAACTTTAAGAACATGCTCATTTTATTTCTAGGATACACTTTTACAGAGAGGAAGCTTCTGTCTGGCTGTACTGTAACTGCCACCAATACCAACTTACTCGGTCATGTCTGTTTATAACACTATCACTCAACACTATCACTCAAGTGCTAATTGTGGATTCAAAAGCTTGAATTTGTATCTTTTGCTACTGTTATAAATCATTTCTAGACCTCCAGTTATCTGTGCTTGGATAAAAAGACTCTAATTCTTTTCCAGCTGTTTTTAAAAGAGGGTTTATTAATAGCCCGATCAGCCTGTAGCGTTGGAGCCTGCAGAAAACTGAATACCCGGTGCTGGAACTCCGCAGAGATAACAAATAGCACAGCGGTGTTTGTTCTGCTTCTGAACTGTTAAAAAAAAAAAAAAAAAGAGGAAGAGTCGTCAAGATGGCTCTGCAGGTACATGTGCTTGCCAGGAAGCCTGAAGACTTGAGTTTGATCCCTGGAACTCACATGATGGAAAGAAAGAACTGACTCCCAGAAGCTGTCCTCTATGGACATGCGACGGTATACACAAGTCCCTCCTCCCACGCACAAATAAAGATAATAAAAGCTGTTATATAAAGAAGTAGTGAGGAAGACAGGAGAAAGTCTCCTAACCTCTAGAGTAGAAGTTTCCCAAAGGAAACGTAAGCACCATGAGGGCACCCAGCGTAGTCCCTCCTTTACTTGTAAAGTTGACTGTGAGCCAAGAGACATATACACTTCCTGCCTCCTGCATATTTTAATTATGTTGCATGTGTTCGGCTCAGCAAGCAAAACCTCATTATAGGCTACATACACGACATGCTTTATATTGCTGTTCCTTCATAGAGTTAGAAACTGTTTTGTCGGGATAAATCCCAGATTATAAGATCAATTCAATATAATAAAGTATAGTGTGTTTTTATGCTCAAAGGTAACTGTGCTATGTGAGTTGCCTTCTCACATGGTTTCTTTCCCCTGGGAAATCTGAAGACCCACCTTGTGTCGCACAGTCAGTCTCTGCTGGCTCCTATCCTGTTCTGGTAAAACACAATTTATTTCTGAGCATTGGGAATCCTAGAATCTGGATGCAATCTGTCTTTTTTTTTTTGATAGAGAGAAAGTGATTTGCGTGAAACTGCTTTGTTTAGCTTGTTTATACCAGGAAGCAATATTCACCAGGAATAGTTTTTCTAGACACATGCACACATACAACACTCATACACAGGCACACACCCACACACGGTGGGGGCCAGTATTGGCAGAGATGACTGTGGGTGTTAAATTTTATTTATTTTTTTTATTTACATGTATACAAGTACCTGCTTGTCCTGGTGTGTACCAAATGAAAGCAAGAGCAGGCCAGAGAAGGTATCAGATCCCTGGACCTGAAGTTATAGGTGGGTTTTGATCAGGCTGCTGTGGGGCCTGGGAGCTGATCTTGAGTCTTTGCAAGAGCAGTAAATGCTCCTAACTGCTGGGCCATTTCCAGCCCCAGCTGTATTGTTTTACATGTAGGAAAAGCTGGTAATTAGGTGTGGTCAGCAAGGGCAGTTTTCAAGGGGGAACACTATGGACACAGCCTCAGGACTTCTAGCAGATGGTCACTTGTGTTTTGAATCCTGTCATTGTTAACTAGCATATACTTTTAAAAACTAAAAAAAGAAAATTGTGTTATTTATCAATAAGAAACCTCCCATAGCAGTTTCAAGTGGGACATTCTTAGATGACTAATTACAAACTGTTTGACCTATTGTTCAAGCTTATTACTAGCTAGTTCTTCCAGCCCAAATTAACCCATAATTCTTATCTGTGATCAGCCATGTGGCTTGGTACCTTTTCTCAGTAAGGAATTTTTATCCTGCTTCTTCTGCGCCTGGTTCGCAACTTCTGATTCTGCTCTTCCTTTTCCCAAAATGTTGCTAGTCTGGTCTTCCCACCTATATCCTTCCTGCCTGGGTACTGGCCAACCAGAATTTTATTAAACCAATACAAGTGACAGATATTTATAGTGTACAAGAGCATTCTCCCACTATAAGCTCGTCCTTGCGCAGGTTCTGTAAGGTGGACTTCATAGGATCAGGTAGCTATGGAGCTTCTTCAATCTGGTTTGAGCTCCCTAATAGGCTGGAGATAGGTAACTAGCACATGCTTGTCAGGTAGAGTAAGGAAATGCTATTATTCTATTGAGGTTTGGGTTGAAAGTTTATCAAATTATTTTCCTTCAAACAACTGGGCAAAAATATTGGATTACAATATAATAAACCCCATGAAGTTAGCGTCTGAGGAGGAGAGTTTCAGTGACCCAGCTGGCTCCACCAAAATCTACAGGTGTGCAATCTCATGCAAAATGCTGTTGTATTTTTCTATAACCAAAATACATCTCAAGACTGTCATGATAGGTAGTTTTATAATATGACATGCTAGAATATAAATATCATAGGAACTGTGGTCCCACAAGATTGTTTAGGAAGCCATGAGAGGAAATCAATTGTGCCTG